TGATAATTTTGGAAATTATGATGTGCTTGAAACTGTGGTTGTGAAGTTTGTGCATTGTCACTCTTCCAACTAAAATTTTGGTGATTTCTCCAACCAGGGTTGTATGTTTGGGAGTATGGGTTGTGGTTGGCCCTTTGGAAACTATTTAAAGCATGGGCTTGTTCATGGAGACATTCCTTAAAAGAAGGCAAGGTTGGACAATCGTTGGTTGAGTGTTCATTTGTTTCACAGATTTGACACACAATGTTTTCAACAGATTTTACTTGACCACTCTTTTTCAATTCTAGTGCCTCGACTTTTCTAGCTAAAGATGCAAACTTGGCTTGAAGGTCATGATCTTCCCTAAGGTTGTACATACCTCCACTAGATGTATGAGGTTGAGTTTTACTCAGTGCCTCATATGTACCCGCGGTGTCCCAATTTTGAGCATTTTCAACTAACAAGTCTAAGTACTCCATTGCTTCATCAGGGTCTTTATCTTCAAAAGTTCCATTGCACATCAATTCAACCATTTGCCTATCTTTAGGTGTTAACCCTTCATAGAAATGTGAAACCAATCTCCATGTTTCAAAACCATGATGAGGGCAAGTATTAAGCAAGTCTCGACACCTATCCCAACATTTGTAAAATGTTTCTCCTGGTTTTTGAGTGAAAGTGGTGATTTGTCTCTTGAAAGAGTTTGTTCTATGAGATGGGAAAAACTTCTTTAAAAATTGTTGTTGCATTTCATCCCAAGCACGAATGGATTCTGGTCTTAAATTTTGTAGCCATGTTTTAGCTTTATCTTTTAATGAAAAAGGAAAAAGCTTTATACCAAGTGAAAGTGCCATACATTATGAGCTATGAAAGTGCCAAGCATTTGTTGTACCAAGTGTTATACAACATAAATCAAGATTAGTCATTTAACAAGCAAAGTATTAAAGAGTGAACAAGATAACAAATATAAAACATGTTAGTATCAAACATTAAAGTCCATATTAAGTTTACACTATACTTGTTCTTACACCATTAGTGTAACCTTTTCACCTTGACATAACTAACTTAGCTAGACATAATGAAAGAAAGAAAAATAAATAAACAAAATAAGAACATAAATAAGATAAAAGTTAACTAAGTAAAGGAAAGGAAATGAAAGGCATAAACTTAATATTAATGAAAGCAAAGCATAAACATTACAAAAAATACAAAGAGAGAAAGGAAGAGCATGATCTTGATCTGAAAACCAAGATGCCTAAATGCATGGCAAATGCCTCCTTTTATAGGCCAAAATTGGGAACTATTGATTTGATGACTAATTGATAAGTGGGTGGCCAACTTTTGACTTGGTGACAATCCTTATCTTCTCTTGTCTGCCCAAAATGTCATGGATAACGTCAAAATTGGAGCCAGTTGTAAACATGAAAGTTGTAGGCAATTGTCTCAACTTTCTTGTGTAAACATTTCAGCTCATTTGGACTTCTAGAACTCCAGATATGGCCAAAATATCTAACAGTGCTCGGGCTGGAAGACAGATTCGAGCTTCTTTGTTGTTGCTACAATTTGGACTTGATAATGGCCTTTTTAGATCTTAGGCTCCATATGAAAGTTGTAGGCCTATGTCTTATCTTTCCATCCATATAAATTGGACCTAAATCTGAGATCTGTAGCTCCAGATATGACCCAATTACCGAACAGTGTTTCGGTTTGGATTGCACCGACATCTCTTTTCTAAGTTTGGCCATCTCTTTATCCTTGCAATTTAAGTTCTTCAAGTCATCAATCAATCCTTTCATTTATGTGATAGGCCTGCATTAAAAATAGACATTTACCACAAATTAAAGGTATCTTATATTATTAGATATATTATTATAAAACATGCTTTGGTTAAGGAGTTATTGATACTTCAAGTGCAAAATGATGATATAAAACCATGATAAAAATGTACTTTTAGGTACTAATCAATAGCCTTTATGATTGCTGGAGTAATCAAGAAAGACACATCGTGTAGATTTAAAATCTAACTTTGATCGACCAAATAGTGTAAGCAAGGGATAGCAGGAACATCCAAACACTCGTAAGGAGTCATAAGTAGAGTAGAGCCAAAAACCACTTCATACGGTGATATGTAACCCAAGACTGAAGTTGGTAAGTGATTAATTAGGAACATTGTAGTATGAAATGCTGCAGTCCAGAATTTTATTGGAATAAAAGTGTGTGATAACAGGGTTAATCTTGTTTCTAAAATATGTCGATGACTCGTTCGGCTAATCCATTTTGTTCTAGTGTTCCTGGATATGAAATTCTATGAATGATGCCATTAGTTTTGAAAAGATTCAGCAGACTTTGATTAACAAACTCACCACCTCCATCGCTTTGAAATATTTTAACATGAGTATCAAACTGTGTTTCCATTTGCTTGAGAAAGGAAGGAAATATATTGCTCCGTCAGATTTTCGATTCATAGAAAATAACCATTTATGCCAGGAATTCTCATCAACAATAATTAAATAGAATTGGTTTCCATCATAAGAGAGGACAGATGCAGGACCCCAGACATCTGAATGCAGTGTATGCAGAAAAGCAGTAGCATATGATTTTCTAGATTCAAATGGTAATGTTGTTGATTTTCCCAAAACACAACTTTCATAAAAAACATTTTGTTTATCCATAGATGTTAAACATAACTTTGTGAGAATTCTGGCTTGAGGGTGGCCCAGTCGTGAATGCAATAAGTTGTTGGACACTTTATTTGCTAAAAAACTAACTGGAATTGTGGAGAATTGTTGCAGATTGATCGGATATAACCCATCCTTGATGAAACCTTTAAGAATTACCTGTTTTTTCTTCATGTCCTTAAGAATAAAACCCCATGAATAAAATAGAAAATAACAGTTATTATCTCTTGTGAATTAAGATACAAATAATAGTTTCTTCTTAATTGCAGGAGCCATAAGAACATCATTTAGCTTGAGATTGGTAGTGGGAATAGTAATGTTTCCAGTACCAGTGATAGGCAAGCCCTGACCATTTCCAACCATAACAGAGTTATTTCCAGGATAAGAGATAATACCTTGGACTTCATTTGTGTCAAACGTTATATGCTAGTTTGCTCTAGTGTCAGAATACTATGTCTCTGCTGCAATTTCACCAATTTTAACTACAGCAAAGGCCTTGTATTGATCAGCTTCTTCATCAGATGCGAAACATCCATCTGCTTTATGATTAGGTCCCCCACATCGAAAACAAGTGATGCTACCATATCCACGATTACTGTTATGTGAGATTTATTTCTGACGAGTCCTAGTGAAGCTTTCATTTTGGTGAGGAAAATGAGTCTCTTTAGCTCGTGATGGAGTGTTGTTATTGGGATTTCTCCCAGTGAAGCTGCGAAGATTGTGACCACGAGTGCTAGTGTTTATCCATGGCTTTAAGTTTGTATGGCCATGATTTGTATAAAAAGCCATAGAAAGAGCAGTTGCTTGTGCTCCTTGAATTCGAATTTCAAAGTCACGGAGTTTGCCAATAACTCCTTCAAGAGATGGAAAGGTCTCTCTAGCATTTAATGTTGCTACTATAGGATCAAATTCAAATCCTAATCCTCGAAGAATACAAATGATGAATTCATCATCATCCATTGTTTACCTGCACCATAAAGAGACTGAGCCAAAGCTTTTGCTTTGTGTAAATAATCTTTTAGTGAAGAGGTACCTTTTATCAGAGATTGTAGTTCGCCTTTGATTTGTTGGATGCGATCTCGAGTGTGAGTGCCATAAAGGGTCTTTAACACTTGTCATACATCATGCGAAGATTCACTATTGATGACTTGAGAAAAAAGATCCATCAGATAGTGAACTGTTGATCCATCCAAGGATCATTTGGTCCGTGCGTAGCCATACTACTGCAGGAGGATTTGTTTGCAATTCACCATTCTCACTAATGATAGTTGATTCTGGGCAGGGAACTTTATCCTTCACATATCCAAAGAGTCCATAGCCACATAAAATAGGAATAACCTATGCTTTCCATAAAAGATAATTGTTTAAAGCGAGCTTGATGGAGATATCAGGCAGATGTGATTTTAGGAGTGTAATCTCAAGAGAAGCAGGGAACATTGTTTGAATTGAAGAAGAGGATGCCATAGTGATAAAAGGCTCTGATACTATATAGGAAAGCTGAACTTGTATTTGTGTATATTATTCATGCCTTTAAATAGGCATTTCATACATTACAGGTCATTGATTCTTACTATATATATTCATGATTTGATGCAGGAATTATGAAAATCATGAAGTAAATGAAATGAAGAATTATAACAGGAAATCTCTCAATAAAGTGATGTATGCGGAAGATCCATGCAGGATTTGTGCACTTGAATCCTACATGGAATCTCTGCATATATTTTCATATCTTTTTGGTTTCTTAAAGACCGAACATTGGCAGTCACTTTATTTACTCATTATGAAAAAAAAATCTTATAGTATCATCATGCATTACTCATTATGATATCCATTTTTTGGATTTTCAAAATGTGAGAAAGATACAATTTTTGTTCTTTTTTTTTATGAAAAATATGCTTAGAAAAATTTTAGAATTTGGCCATATGCATGAAAATAATTTTTTTAAGAGAAAATTAATTTAAATATTTTTTGAGATTTTTCTTGAAATATTTCAGAAAAAACTAGGTATTTTTGTAACACCCTCAAATTATAATATCATGAAAACTCCCAACATTTCTTTAACAATGTCAAGTATTGGGTAATATATCTAAAATTATGGGATTTTTTTTTTGAAAATTTTGGCAGTGTTTCCTCTACTATTGTTGGTACCAAGTTATCGACAACACTTCTATTATATGTCATTACGACTTCCATCTTAATCCAATCATCCTGGATCATATTTCATTTATCAAACAATAACTCAATATTTATATTTATCAATATATGCAAGTCTTGTAATATGCATCAGTAAATCAACATAAATGTACTATCACATTCATCATTAAACGTAATAAATTCTAACTAACTATGTATAAGCCTTTAAACTATGTAAATACAACATTAAGATTAAGAGTCATATTATATTTATAATAAATCTTATCTTATCATTTTGAAAATGATTTGGTCATACTATCAATTATACATATATATAATACATCCACTATATATTACATCTTCGATTTAATTTTTACAACACAAAAGGATTTACATTCAAAGTAAAGACATGACAATTACATTTCAAAATATAAATAGGAGAATTCCTATATCTAACGATCTGCATCACCTCGCGGTGTACCTGTTTCAATAATAATCATATTAATTAACTTACTCACTATAGTAGTCTAATATTAATTAATTACTCTTAACCTTTGAAATTGAATTTTCAATCTAACTTAATTCCTTAATTTACATAATATTTTCAAAATTTAGAAATCCAGCTAACTCATTTTAATTACCAAATAAATCTAACTCTTCCATATAATTACTCAAAAATTTGGTTTCCTTCTTGGTCACCAATAGATCTAGTACTTCCATTCAAATTACCCATCATCTGGCTAACCTTTTTTTGTTAGCCAATCAATCTGGTAATTCCATATGAATTACTCCTTATCGGGTTAACCTTTTTGTTAACCAATAAACCCGATAATTCTCTTGATTACCCAAAAATTCGGCTAACCCATTTCGGTTACCAGAATCAATCCAGTAATTCAGATGAATTACCCAGCATTTGGTTAACCTTTTTTATTAGCCAATCAATTTGGTAATTCCATTCAAATTACCCCGCATCCGGCTAACCTCTTTTATTAGCCAATCAATCCGGTAATTCCATTTGAATTACCTAACATCCGGCTAACCCTTTTTATTAGCCAAGCAATCCGGTAATTCCATACCAATTACCCCATATCTGGTTAACCTCTTTGTTAACCAATAAAACCTAATAATTCCATATAATTTTCCGGTAATTCACATAATCATAACTCCATTTATTCATTTGCTCCATTCATTTAATATCAATTAACTAAGCAACATAGATTATTAGAAAAACTAAAAATAACAAAATAAGGTGACGAATCACCTACCTTCTGCTCGGGATGACCCAGCTTCTCTTGTCTGATAACCAACTCTAGACACAACTCCTGAATCAATCAAGTATCATTATATCATTAGTCCATCAATATTTTTTCTTATATGCCGAAACAAAAGGCACGTTGATTAATACTTAAAAGTGCATTTTTATAAAGGTTTTATATCATCATTTTGCACTTGAAGTATCAATAACTCCTTAACTAAAGCATGTTTTATAATAATGTATCTAATAATATAAGATATCTTTAATTTATGGTAAATATTCATTTTAAATACAGGTTTATCATATAAATGAAAGGATTGATTGATGAATTTAAGAACTGAAATTGAAAGGACAAAGAGATGACCAAACTTAGAAAAGAGATGTGAGTGCAAATCCAAACCGGAACACTATTCGATAATTGGGTCATAACTGGAGCTGTAGATCTCAGATTTATGTTTACTTTATATGGATGGAAAGGTAAGACATAGACATACAACTTTGATACAGAGCCCAAGACTTAAAAAGGCCATTTTCAAGTCCAAATTGTAGCAACAACAAAGAAGTCTGAATCTGTCTTCTATCCCGAGCAATGTTCAGTGTTTGGCCCATATATGGAGTTTTAGAAGTCCAAATGACCTGAATGTTTTACACAAAAAAGATGAGATAATTTTCTACAACTTTCATGTTTTCAAGTGGCTCTAATTTAGACGTTATCAATGATGTTTTGGGCAGATAAGAGAAAATAAAGATTGTCACCAAGTCAAGAGTTGGTCACCCACTTATCAATTAGTCATCAAATCAATAGTTCCCAATTTTGGCCTCTAAAAGGAGGCATTTGCCATGCATTTAGGTATCTTGGTTTCCATATCAAAATCATGCTCTTGCTTTCTCTCTTTGTATTTTTTGTAATGTTTATGCTTTGCTTTCATTAATATTAAGTTTATGTCTTTCACTTCCTTTCCTTTACTTAGTTAACTCTTATCTTATTTATGTTTTTATTTTATTTATTTATTTTTATTTCTTTTATTATGTTTAGCTATGTTTATTATGTCAATGTGAAAAAGTTACACTAATGTGTAAGAATAAGTATAGTGTAAACTTAATATAGACTTTAATGTTTGATATTAACATGTTTTGTATTTGTTATCTTGTTCACTCTTTAATACTTTGTTTGTTAAATTTCTAATGTTAATTTATGTTGTATAACACTTGGTACAACAAATACTTGGCGCTTTTATAGTTCATACTGTATGGTATAACTGACACCTGAGCTATGAAAAGAACTTGATTTGTTGTTAACATAAGTTATAATCATGAATGCTTGACGAGATTTACAAGTATTAGTATTAATCGAATAAGATGACTAATGTAATCATGTTAACAATCTATAATCTGATTGAAAACTCCTTTGTGTGTGATTTTCAATTGAATAATAAGAGTTTATACTATACTTGTTTGACATACCATCTCAAAGTTCTCATCTTCTTCTTCTTCTCCATCTCTTTCTTTATTATTATTATTATTACTACTGCTGCTACTATTACTACTGCTGCTACTACTATTATTGTTATTATTGTTGTTGTTGTTATTGTTATTGTTATTGTTATATTATTGTCATTTATAATTTATACAATTAACCTCTTTGTGGTTCAACCCCGTCTTGTCGGGTTATTTATTACTTCGACACTCTTGCACTTGGGAGAAGACATCAATCTTTTAGTTGTGTTAAGTTTTTGGCGTTGTTGCTGGGGAGGTAAATTCTTGTATAAATTATAGCATTTGTTTCTTGTATCTTCTTTCTTTTTCTTTTGTTTTCTTTTTTCTTTTCCTACACGTGCATGAGAGTGTGGTCATGTACATCAAATGGTAGACTTTGTAGGGCATCCTCATCATCTTTAGAAAATATGACCGAAGAAGATAATCAATCACTTCATAATGAGAATAATGAAAATAACCGTGTTAGAACACTTAGAAACCACATGAATCCTATAAGAACAAGTGCACCATCATGCATAGTTTTTCCTCCTGATGCATCTCATTTTAATTTTAAGTGAGACATTATTCAACTTTTACCTTCTTTTCATGGCTTAGATTTAGAACATTCATACTTGCATTTAAGGAAATTTAAGGAGGTTTGCAACACATATAACGATTCAAATTGTAGCATGAACACCATTAGATTAAAGCTTTTTCCTTTTTCATTAAAAGATAAAGTTAAAACATGGCTATAAAATTTAAGACCAGGATCCATTCATGCTTTGGATGAAATGCAACAACAGTTTTTAAAGAAGTTTTTCCCATCTCATAGAACAAACTCTTTCAAAAGATAAATCACTACTTCCACTAAAAAACCAGGAGAAATATTTTATCAATGTTGGGATAGGTATCGAGACTTGCTTAATACTTGCCTTCATTATAGTTTTGAAACATGGAGATTGGTTTCACATTTTTATGAAGGGTTAACATCTAGAGATAGGCAAATGGTTGAATTGATGTGCAATAGAACTTTTGAAGATAAAGACCCTAATGAAGCAATGGAGTACTTAGACTTGTTAGTTGAAAATGCTCAAAATTAGGACACCATGGGTATTTATGAGGTACCGAGTAAAACTCAACCTCATACATCTAGTGGAGGTATGCATAACCTTAGGGAAGATCATGACCTTCAAGCCAAGTTTGTATCTTTAGCTAGAAAAGTTGAGGCACTAGAATAAAAAAAAGGTGATCAATTAAAATCTATTCAAGACATTGCGTGTCAAATCTGTGAAACAAATGAACACTCAACCAATGATTGTCCAACCTTGCCTTCTTTTAAGGAATGTCTCCATAAACAAGCCTATGCTTTAAACAATTTCCAAAGGCCTAATTATAACTCATACTCGTAAACATATAACACTGGTTGGAGAAATCACCAAAATTTTAGTTTGAAGAGTGACAATGCATAAACTTCACCACCATAATTTCAAGCACACCATAATTTCTAAAATTCTCATGGATATGCACCTTCTTATGCTCTACGTCCTATAAGAAATTTTGAGGAAACTTTATATATATTTATTGAAAAGCAAGAGACAATCAACACTCAACTTGCTCAAAATATAACAGATTTTAAAGATACTCTTGCAAAATTCACATCTGCTCTTAGTTTTTAAGAGAAAGGTAAGTTTCCATCTCAACCATAAAAAAATCTCAAGGGGCAATACAATGCAAATGTAAGCAGTCCTAGAAGTCAACACATGGATCAAGTTAAATCAATCATCATTCTTTGTAATGGTAAGGTTATTCAAAAACTAATTCTTGAACCTTGTGAGAAAGATGATGAGTCAATCTCTAAGGGTAAGGAAGGGGTTAAATCTGAACATTGCAAAGAAAAGATTGATTCCCCTCTAGCACTTCTATTTTCTCATGCCATAACCAATCAAGAAGAAATCAAGGATGAAAAAGGCACCGACAATATTGATGCAGATCTTTTATCAAAAGTAACAACAGATTCGACACTCGACATCACATCAATCAATAATTACTTTCCTGATAAATCTCTACTTTCTCTTAGTTCAATGCCTTGTTTAGCTAAAAATATCAATTTTCTTACTTCAGGATTTTTGCCAGCTCACTAAAGTACCGAAGACAAAAGACAATTTTTGAGCAACGTGTAAATTTTTTATTGGGATGACCCTTACTTATTCAATTATTGTCCTGATCAAATATTTCAAAAATGCATTCCCGACAATGAGGTAAGTAATTTCATTAAATTTTATAACTCTAAGGCACGTGGGGATCATTTCTCGTAAAAAAAAAGGACTGTAGAAATCTTTCAAAGCGGATTTTACTGGCTCACCATATGCAAGGAATCACGTGCATCCCGCCAAACCTGTGAAAATTGTCAAAAGGTAGGATTTATTTCAAAATACAAAGAGTCTTTAGATAATCTTCTATTTACTCTTAAGTCTCATCATAGTCGAGATACGCATCGTGCATTCATGACTTATGAACCCATTTTCATAAAGAACATGCTTGACATAGTCTTGGGAATTTGACTAAAAAAGACTCTGTTTGCCAGGTTTTAAGAAAACTGGATGGGAAGCCTATCCCTGACCCATAGAATGTGTTTAAGTTGTTCTTGAATGTAAAACAAAGGGAAGATGTGAGCCACAATCACAACCACCTATACATATATATTTTTTTAATAAATAAATAAAGAGAGAGAGTGTGTGTGTGTGAGAGATAGACTCCAGCTAGCCTATATATAGGTGGTATGATTGCCTTTTTAATTTCTCATCTGTAAAATCCTCTCTTCCTTTCTTTCATTTCTACTTAACCTATACATTCAACAAATATAGAAGTGTGTAGAAATGACAAGTTCCTCAGGTCATCACATGAGAAATATTTGTGTTTTCGGTGGATTTAGTGCTAGGAAAGAAAATGAGTTTTTAGAATCAACAAATCATCTTGGTCAGGTGCTAGTTGAGAGAAACATTCATTTCATGTATGGGGGAGGCAGTTTGGGTTAATGAGAGATGTGTCAATAGCTGCATTTTTAGGAGGTAGTCAAGTTTTGGGGGTCGTCCCGAAGCCTAAGCACAAGGGGACATCATCGGAAAAATAATTGGAGAGGAATTTCAGGTCTCCATAATGTCTGCTCGAATAAATGTAATGTTTAACCATGTTGATGCCTTCATTGCTTTACCAGGTGGTCTAGGCATATTGGAAGAGATCTTTCATATTTTCTCTTGGGTCCAATTGCACATTCACCATAAACTCATAGGTCTGTTAAATGTTAATGGTTATTATGATAAGTTGATGTCTTTTCTTGATCATGCTGTGGAAAAAGAATTTCTAACATCTTCTGCACGACAAATCATAATCTCTGCTGCTACTGCTAAATAATTGATTGACCAACTACAATATTTCATTCTTGTAATTGATCCCTCAATGAGTCGTATAAATTGGTCATTTAAAGAAAGCTCTAAAAAGCTTAGATTAGATTTGAGTTTTTATTTGTAAATTTTTTGTGTCCTTTTATTTTATTATTGTATTTTGTTATTTTTTATTTTTGTTTAAGTGTGTTTCAGGTTTGTTAGTGTTTGTTATTTCAGGTGATATCTTCTATACTCTATTTTTTTACCTTAGAACATTGAGGACAATGTCTCATTTTGGTTAGGGGGAGAGGGTAGTAGCTAAAATAAAATAAAATTAACTAATTGTGTTTTTTATTTTATAAAGCATATGCAAAATTATTGTTACTATAATGGTAGAGTAAAGGAGATCTTTTTATGACTCTTGAGACACATCTTAGTAACCATTCTTAATAAGGTCTATCATAATACTTCTTGAAATATTTAGGTTTACAAACTCCCGCATTGTTATCACTTAATTCTGCTCATATACTCATTTAACATGTATTTTTAAATCTTAATTTATACACACACACACTTTAACATATGATTGTGGGTTGCACATTAGATTATTACATTATTTATATTCTTTTGTTAAAGGTAACAACTAAGAAAAAATGATAGTATATAATTTAAAAAAACACAAAAAGAAAAAGAAAAAAAAATGATGATAATAAAAATATAGATAAATTTGGTTTTGTAACCTCCTTAACTTAAGCAATTAAGCCTAAGGGGGTGTTTTAACACCTAATACCCTAAAGTCAACTGACTTAGAAGCTATTGGCCCAACACTTGTTAGATGGGTTGAGGAGAAAAGCTTAAGGGAATCAAACATTGCACTATCTACATATCAGTATCTGCGACCCGAGTTACTAAGCTCGTAGAGGTGTCTCAACACCTAATGCCCTAAGACCAACTGATTTGGGAGTCATTAGCCAAAAGCTTATTATATAGGTTAAAGATGCATGGTGTTTTAAGTTATATATATATATATTTAAAAAAAAAGAAAAAAAGAAAAAAAAATAATCTCAACCCAGGGAAGTTAACCTTAAACATTAGAACAAAATTTTTTGTTTTCTTCCAAGAAAAGCCCTATAATTATGTGTTGATATATTGAGCACAAAAGAAAGGTTTATTAATAACTTGTTAAGAGGTATTGAGCAGATATATAAATTTAATCAGAGTTTGTTTATCTGGATAAATTAATGGAAGTTGAATGATGAATACCTTGCTTTGTGGAATTTACAAATTGTTTTTCTATTTTAACGCTTTGATTACTAGAGACTAGTAATAAGCTGGTTGGGGGGTGTGATTAGTACCTAAAAGTGCATTTTTATAAAGGTTTTATATCATCATTTTGCACTTGAAGTATCAATAACTCCTTAACTAAAGCATGTTTTATAATAACGTATCTAATAATATAAGATACCTTTAATTTATGATAAATATTCATTTTAAATGTAGTTCTATCATATAAATGAAAGGATTGATTGATGAATTAAAGAACTGAAATTGAAAAGACAAAGAGATAACCAAACTTAGAAAAGAGATGTGAGTGCAATTCAAACCAGAACACTGTTCGGTAATTGGATCATAACTGGAGCTGTAGATCTCAGATTTAGGTTTACTTTATATGGATGGGAAGGTAAGACATAGGCCTAGAACTTTCATATAGAGCCCAAGACTTAAAAAGGTCATTTTCAAGTTCAAATTGTAGCAAAAACAAAGAAGTCTGAATCTGTCTTCCATCGCGAGCACTGTTCAGTGTTAGGCCCATATCTAGAGTTCTAGAAGTCCAAATGACCTGAAGTTTTTACACAAAAAAAAGATGAGACAATTTTATACAACTTTCATGTGTTTAAGTGACTCTAATTTAGACGTTATCAATCATGTTTTCGGCAGACAAGAGAAGATAAGGATTATCACCAAGTCAAGAGTTGGTCACCCACTTATCAATTAGTCATCAAATCAATAGTTTCCAATTTTGGCCTCTAAAAGGAGGCATTTGTAATGCATTTAGGTATCTTGATTTCCAAATCAAGATCATGCTCTTGCTTTCTCTCTTTGTATTTTTTTTGTAATGTTTATGCTTTGTTTTCATTAATATCAAGTTTATGCCTTTCACTTCCTTTCCTTTCCTTAGTTAACTCTTATCTTATTTATGTTTTTATTTTATTTATTTATTTTTATTTCTTTTATTATGTTTAGTTATGTTTATTATGTCAAGGTGAAAAGGTTACATTAATGGTGTAAGGATAAGTATAGTGTAAACTTAATATAGACTTTAATGTTTGATACTAACATGTTTTGTATTTGTTATCTTGTTCACTCTTTAATACTTTGCTTGTTAAATTTCTAATGTTAATTTATGTTGTATAACACTTGGTACAATAAATACTTAGCACTTTCATAGTTCATACTATATGGTATAACTAACACCTGAGCTATGAAAGGAACTTGATTTGTTGTTAACATAAGTTATAATCATGAATGCTTGATGAGATTTACAAGTATTAGCATTAATCGAATAAAATGACTAATGTAATCATGTTAACAATGTATAATCTGATTGGAATCTTCTTTGTGTGTGGTTTCAAATTGAATAATAAGAGTTTATACTATACTTGTTTGACATATCATTATTGGATCCTCTAACCTTGACATTTGTTATTATCATTGTTTAATCCTTACATTAATATTCTATCTCAAGGTTTTCATCATCTTCTTCTTCTTCTCCATCTCTTTCTTTATTGTTACTACTATTACTACTACTACTACTATTGTTGTTGTTGTTATTATTATTATTGTATTATTGTTATTTATAATTTATACAATTATCCTCCCTGTGGTTTGACCCCGGTCTTGCCAGGTTATTTATTACTTCGACACTCTTGCACTTGGAAGAAGACATCAATCTATTAGTCATGTCACACGTAATATTTTTATTTATAATTTGTTCTAATACAAATTCATTCTCAAATATAACATCATTATTTTACATACAACCTTATATTTAGCTCAAGTTACTTCTTTGCTTACTCTATGTTCATAATTCCTCCGTCAAATAATTCTTCTATTCTTTATACCCTCACATCATATTACTTATTTTATCTAAATACTATATTCAAACACAACCTAGACATCTTGTCTTCATATTTTCTTTTAGCTAGGTTATTTCTCTTTTAATTTGACTTTATGTTTCTTTTTCCTCCCCCAAATTTTTCATAATTTACTTGTTATTTCAACTTGTTTTCATTCTATTCCACTTCAATTTCATCATTTTTCCTTCTCCTTCTATTTCCCCCAAATTCACATAAGAACCCTAACTTCAAAAATCTAGGATTTAAGGGAAACTAAGGTAAAATTCCATGAAATTACTTCCTAACTTAATCAAATAAGCTTAAGAAAACATCTAAATCAAACATTAAATTCAAACTTCTCATGCTTACCTATTGCTTTTCTTCCAATTTCTCTTCTCTTCCAAAGTTAGTTGAATTCCCCTTCTCAAATCCTCCTTCCTTCACTTGATTTAGTGTTTTATAGGTTGAACTTGCAAGTTTATAAAGTTATTTTCTCAATTTTCTTATTGTTTTCCCTTACTTTTCCCTTACTTTTCTCTCTTTCTCTCACGTTATGCTTTGTTTTTTCCTTTCAGCTTTTTGTTTCTACCCATTCAGCAGTTAATAAAATAGAGGGAGAGCTTATATGTTTTCTTTTCAATGGAAAATTACTATGATACCCTTAATGAATATGTTTGCCTCTATTTGACGGTCTTTATTTTTTTGCTAGCACTACCGAGCTCCATTCATCTTAAAATCTTAACTAGATTTTATTCAATATATTTTAGGGTTCTTCATAAAATTTCAGCTTAATCTGATGGTCGGATTGAAAATTACGTCCAATTATGTAAAACTAGTCGAATTGTGTTTTTTCGTCAAATTTCTGAATTTCTCTAAAACTTCTAAAATTTTAACACAAGCTAAGGTATCATATTAGAAGGCTCCACGCAAAATTTCAGAATTGTTTGATAACCCAATCAAGAGTTATGAATTTTTTTTGTTTTATATAAAACTAGTTAATTTATGATTTTTCGCCCGGAGGTTTTACATTCTCCCCTCCTAAACAAAAAATTTCATCCTTGAAATTTAAATTCATACCTATATAAGAAAATGATCCAGGATACTTCTTCATCATTTCCGACTCTCTCTCCCAGGTTTCTTCTTCTATTTGAAAGTTTCTCCACAATACTTTTACTAACGGCACCCTTTTTATTTCGTAATTCCTTTATACTTCGGTCCATAATTCACACAAGTTGTACCTCTACAGTTAAATCTTTCCACACTTCTATTGGAATTTATGGCAAAATTCATGTAGGATCCAAATTTGCTTTTTGCAGCATCGAGACATGAAACACATTATGTATCCTATCTAAATGTGGTGGCAGCAGTACACAACCGTCCCAATTCTTTTTATAATTTTATATGGCCCGATATACCTGGGTGCTAATTTTCCTTTCATTCCAAACCGAATCACATGTTTCCATGGAGCAACCTTTAAAAATACCATATCTCCAATTTGAAACTCTAGAGGTCTCCGTCGATTATCTGCATAGCTCTTTTGCCGATTTTGAGCTTTTTTCATCCTTTCCTTTATCACCTTCACCTTATCAACCGTGATCTGCACCAGTTCAGGTCCCAATAATTTTCTTTCCCCAACTTCATCCCAACATACTATAGTTCGACATCTCCTTCCATACAATGCTTCATATGGTGTCATTCCAAGAATAGATTGATAACTATTGTTATAAGTAAATTCTACTAATGGCAAGTGATCCTCCCGTTGACCTCCAAACTCCAGAATACAAGACTGCAACAAATCCTTTAAAATCTGTATTGTCCTTTCAGATTGTCCATCAGTTTGTGGATGAAAAGCTGTGCTTAGATTCAATTTGGTACCCAAAGCCCATTGTATACACGACCATAACCTTGATGTAAACCGAGGATCCCTATCGAAAACTATAGAAACTAGTACACCATGCAATCTCACCACCTTTTTAATATATAATTGAGCTAATTTTTCAACTGAATCCCCTATCTTCATAGGTAAAAACAAAGAAGACTTTGTTAGTCTATCCACGATCACCCATATAGCATCATCGTGTCCTTTCCTGTTTCCTGGTAACCCAAATACAAAATCCATAGTGATATTCTCCCATTTCCATTCCAGAATACGAAGAGGCTGTAATTCTCCAGCCAGTCGTTGATGCTCTACTTTCACCTACTGACATATGGCACACTTGGCCACATTTTCTGCTATCTCTTTCTTCATGTTTGGCCACCAGTACCTCTCCTTCAAATCTCTATACATTTTCATGCTCCCTAGACGGATCTCTAATTTAGACTCATGAGCTTCTTTTAAAACTTCACCTTTTAAAACCTTATCAAGTAAATATGTTCTTTTTCCCATCACTATGAGCCCATCATTCGACACTCGAAATAAAGAGTCTAGATTGCCTTTTACATTATTCATTTTGTTTCTTTACTTCGGGATCTTCACCTTGAAATTTTTGAATCTTTTCTCTCATATCAGATTATAGCACTAACATTGCTAGTAACATCCCTCATGAAGTCACATCCAAATGCACATTTAGCCCACCAAGTTCCAAGAGTTCTGTATCACCTCACATTAGTAAGCCATCAATAAAAGCTTTATTCTTCCGACTTAGAGCATCTACCGCCACATTTGCTTTTCCCAAGTGATAGTCAATAATACAATCATAATCTTTGATTAGCTCCATCCATCTCCTATACCGCATATTCAATTCTTTTTGTGACATCAAGTATTTCAAACTTTTATGATCTGTAAAAAATTGTACTTGTACTCCGTATAGATAATGCCTTCATATCCTCAAAGCAAACACCACAGCTGCTAGCTCCAAATCATGTACTAGATAGTTCACCTCATGTGGTTTTAACTGTCTAGATGCATAAGCGATTACCCTTCCATGCTGCATAAGTACACAACCCAAACCCTTACTAGAAGCATCGTTATACATGATAAATCCCTCTTGTTCTTTTGGTAAAGCCAATACTGGGGTTGAAGTTAGCTTGGATTTTAACTCTTGAAAACTTGTTTCACACTCCTTTAACCATTCAAACTTAACTTCCTTTCGAGTTAGCCGAGTCATTGGAAAGGTTATCGTGTAAAATCCTTTTATAAATCTTCTATAATATCCAGCTAAGCCCAAAAAACTATGAATTTCAGTCACATTCATAGGTCTTTCCCATCTCAATACTACTTCTATCTTCTTTGGGTCCACACTGATACCCTTCTTCAATATCACGTGACCCAAAAATACTACTTCATTCAGCTAAAATTCACATTTACTAAGTTTCATATACAACTTATTTCTCCTCAAGGTCTCTAACACTTCACTCAAGTCATTTGCATGTTCCATTTGTGATGAAGAATATATTAGTATATCATCAATAAACACTACTACAAACTTATCCAGATAGGATTGAAAAACCTGATTCATCAAATTCATAAATATCGCTGGGCATTAGTTAATCCAAAAGGCATCACCATAAACTCATAATGTCTATAGCGAGTTCTAAAAGTTGTTTTCTGCATATCTTTCTCCTTTATCGTCACCTGATGATACCCTGACCTCAAGTCTATTTTTGAAAATACATATGCCCCTTTTAACTGATCAAACAAATCATTAATTCATGGAAAAGGGATACTTATTTTTTACAATCACTTTATTGAGCTGTCTGTAATCTATACAGAAACACAATGTTCCATTTTTCTTTTTAATAAATAGCATAGGAGCCCCCTAAGGTGAAACACTAGGGCGGATAAACCCTTTATCCATCAATTCTTGCAACTATATTTTCAATTCCACCAATTCTGTAGGTGCCATTCGATACGGTGCTTGAGCTAATGGTGTAGTTCCAGGCAGTGTTTTTATCGAAACTTCTACTTCTCTCTCAAGTGGTAGCTCGAGTAATTCCTTTGGAAATACATCTGGAAACTCTCTTACTACAGGTATTTTATCCAACTCTATTTCTTTATTTTCCAAATCTACTACATAGGCAAGATAAGTTGTACATCTCTTTCTTAATAGTTTCCTAGTCGTCATGACCGAAATTATACTATTTGGTATGATGTTCCTCTCTCCTCTAAACTCTACCCTCCTACCACTCTCATCTTGGAGAGTTACCATTTTACTAAAACAATCTATTTTGGCTCTGTATGTTACTAGCCAATCCATTCCTAAAATCATATAAGTCTATTGGTAATAAATCTACCCTCATTTCAACATCTCCTATTTTTACCCAACAACTCCTGTAAACATACTCTATAAGTATAGTTTCCCCTAGAGGTGTACCAATTACTA